ATTTGACCAATGTACTAGAGCGTACCATCGAAGACCAAAAGAGATATTGTCGTAGCAAAGCATGGATGCGCGCATCATCCTAGATGAAAACCCTAAACCTTATCAATGTAATCATGGCAATCATTCATACCTGCCTGTATTGTCGATTCCCGGACCGTTGTGGCCATTTATTTCTCGATACACTTCAATCGGAGTATTTCACTTCTTAGTATACCTCGTAGTCGTGGTTAGTAGTGAATGTGATATTAGCATAAATTCAATGGGAATCTTCGAATCATTTATGTAATCTAGCTACGCGGATAACTTTTGGTTACTTGAAGCGAATAGTTAGTTGTATAGATCAAAGAGCCGAATATGTTGGATGTTTTTAGAATTCCATTTGAGGCGTATGACGCTCCTAAAGACGTATTTCGCCTGGGATGGTCACCTGGAAATCTAATTTAGTATACGGTTGGGACGTTTTTCTAGTGGTGATTGAACGATTCGAAAAATTCCCACTACAATTCTTAAGACTCGTTTGCGAGATTACGTTGATCAATATCTCTCAACGCAGTGCTTAGCCGATATTATTCCCTATTTGTGGCCCCACTCCCATTTCAAAAGGGAATCAAAGGGTAGCTATTATCCTTAAAATACTAGGGACGCTGAAATTTTCCCTTTAATTACTGTCATCAGTTATATCGAAACCCAAGACATGTAACGGAGGATTTTCCAGTGTTAGGTGCATTTTATATTTGGGATTTCTTATAGACCCTTTTTCAATCGTTATTCTGGATACACTTGCATAATCATTTTCCGTTGTAGATGGCTGCATCATTGACCTTAATCCGGCTCCTCCAAAACCCATCAGAATTGCATCCCCACCACCCTACCTGCCAGCTACTACTTCTCCAACCAAACGGGGTTCTGCTCGTGGTCGAGGCGGTCGTAAGGCACGCGGTGGACGTCGTGGCGGTTCAAAATCGGTCGCTGAAGTAGCTGAGCAAATACCATCTCGTTCCATTCCAGCCTCCTGGGTTCCCTTAATCCTCCCCTGTCGGACTCCCAACACAGAACAGTCTACCATGAACATTGACCCCCACCGAACGCATTTTAAACCCTGGTTAAATGAACTTTCAGAAGCCCGTCTTCATCGATTCTCTGTGAGTAATAATTATTGGAACTTATTCCAATGTTTCCGTAACTTACAGTAGCAGTACTTTAGCTTCTGTTGGTTGGACCGCGCATATCGGTTATTCCACAATTCATTAGAAGGGGTGTTTTGAGCGGTTCCGTTGTTGTCTCACGGTAAACTACAAATTCTTGAATCTTCCTCCACAAGAAAGCCAGAGATGTTTGGGGAACAATGAATTTAAATGCTGGCAAGGCGGAGCGCTACAAGTGGGATCGGTGTGTGGTTGCACTACGCTTGCAGAAATGAGTAAATGCAGAACGTAACGATGTAATCGATCGAGCACAGGTTATTGCTAAGTGAACCGTTTTCATTTGTCTCAATGAACTCCAGTTAAAGATTCTTTCTTAGATGGGTGATCGAAAACTCATCTTTGTTACTAAATGAAACTGTTGATTAACGTTGATTAGCGTTTCGGCGAAATGCCTACTCGGTCTACCAACTGTAGGATCATGCAATTTTCCGTAGTTGGTTTATTGTACTCCTGTGAGCGTGGAATTGTAGCCCTCATAAACATAAAAATGTACTGTATACGTAGCAAGAAGTGACATTCACGACTTTTCCTCACATTCCAAATCGATCTACCGCTCGCTTTGCCACCCATTGGAATGTTGGCGTACGATACCTAAGTCTGCAATATTTCGTAGGAACTCAACAGCAGCCACATGTCTGAATGGAGAAGAAACTAAACAAAATCATTCAGGTTGACTAGAGCTGTTCGATCAAGTGCGCCAGCTGCCCCCCAACTTTGAAACCATCGGTTCGCTTGCATGTGCTTACGGTCGGTGTGAGTCAACGCTGTTTTCACATCTGCTAACAGCTTACTTCCGGCTGCCCAAAGAGTGTCCCATTTAGATCCGAAGACGATGGTTACAGCCCGAAATAATCAAACTAACAAAATTGCAGCCACCAAAGCAGTCTAGGAATTGAATTTCCGTTACTATATGGGGAGATCATAACCATTGGGCCAACATTCCACTCAGTACCCCCGAAACCGAGGATACTTGATTTCAGTGTATCAAATACTGTAGAACTCGAACCGACTGGCATTGTCATACAACATTTACACCAGAGGCGATCTATTTGAATTAGTAGTCATGCTGGCATCAATCTTTTACCGTCAAGATTGTACTCCCTGAAACATTTTCTCGTTTCACGTCGTTTGTGCATCAACCGTCGAGTCTTTCGTTTTGAGACTTGATGACACACGTGTAATGAGGGATTTGATTTGATAATGTGGCGAGTTGCGTCGTGTACAGAGACTACGAAGCATGAACTGAAAAACTAAGAAGCATTGTTCGGCTGTCTCGTTAGCTGGTTGAATCCATCCATCCAACTGAGAATGGAACCTTCAACTTCAACGGTGGAACGCAAACGTACTTCTCACTTGACTACTGTTTAGCTGATCAGATCGTAGTTAACTACGGAAAGCCTCCAACCGACCCTAGAGGCTAGTGCTGAGATGAGCTGGTGTGATGCTCGCAACCAGCTTGCTAAGACGACTTGATGCATCGTTAGCATTCCTCATTTCTATACCAATCAAATCACTTAAGACGGTGGAATAGGGTTATGTGATGTTTTTGCGTCTGGAACCGTATGTGGCATTTCTCATTTTGATCACGGCACGATTCAACGTGAAAATATCCCATGGCATGAGGTGATCATTAGCTTATTAGCTATTCCCACCGTAAAACTTGGATTTCGAACAGAACCAATGTATCACAAAAGTTAGGTGATCTTAGGTTTGTATATATCAGCCCGGCAGTGACCAGCTGATTTCGCTTCGATATCCCGTTGTACTATGTTGCACCTCACTTTTATGTTGTACCGTGTGTTGGCGGTGAAAGCTACTTTTTTTAAACAATTTCGGAAACTGCTTTTCCAATGTATATTGACGTAGGAAATGTCCGTCGATTTGTCTGAAATATACTTTCTACCTGATGAGCCTTTTGTTAGTATTTTTTATTTAGCATCCTCATGTATTCTATTCTTTTGCAGATATCCGTGAGACAAATTTTGTCTCAACATTTCCCAGACAACTCCACCCTAAGCCCCTATCCAATTATGCGACCTGAAGTCACCTCAGGTGCCGCTGCGCGGGTCAGTTGTGACTCCACGCTCCCAACCACAACCCATACATCCATTTTACCCAAATCGAGTGCTTCCCGTAGCTCAATATCCCACATACCAACCCCGGAGTTAATCCCACCGACCATGGAGTTAAATACTTCAGTTCCTCATCCTCCATCAGAACACTCTTGTTTTCCGCCACCATCCTTGCAAGCCAATGCACATCAAGCTGACAGCGAAGTTCAGTTGAGTGATCGTCATGCGATCTCCGCTGTTCCCGATCCCGTTGTCATTACCAGTCAGGCTGAGTTAAAGGATGTATCACCCAACTCCTATCCGCACCCGAGTCAGTCCTACAGTCCCCGTGGCCGTGGCCGTGGCCGAGGCCGTGGCCGACGACTTCGTCACCCATCGGCGATGTTTTCTCGCGGTGCGTCAGCTCGCGGCAGCTATCGATCATCCACCAATGTATCGATCACTCTTGCCTCGACTACAACTAATATGAGCACTTCCAAAGCATTGTCCCGTGGTAACGGATCCTCCAGATGTAAGTACCATCTGTCCTAGTTTCGCCTTTATCGCTTCAAATAATCCTGTACTCTTGGTATATTGCGCATTCCATGGGGCGTTACTTGCATTTTCCCTCGCTCTACTCACTAAAGTCTAGACGTCCTCATGTGTACTACAATTTCAACCACTTTGGTGGGACATCATAGCAATTCTGCGGTACTTGTACACTATATGTTTTCGTCTAATAATCTTCCTATTTCCTTGTTTCAGCTAAATCTCGCGTTCCTCGTGAACTGCGTGGTTTGGTTACATGGGATGCGGTCATGGCACAGCAACGGCGTCAACAAGAACAGGGACAATTGGGACCGGAACTAAGTGCAGACAAAAAGGCTCGAACTGTTTCCGACGCGTTGTTGGCTGTGGCTCATGATATGTTAGCTGCCGCGGCTGTTGAGGAAGATAATGCCGCTTCACGAACTCGTCGTACCAGACAGTCAAGTGGAAGTGCCCTCAGTCAGAGCGGTCCTTCCACTTTTCATTCCGATTCAGCATCGGTCGCCACTGGTAAGTTATCCTCACGGTTAATTTTTTGAATACCTAACTTGACTACTGTTGTTTTTCGAGTAGGATGAATACGTATACCACAATGTTTTCGTTTGCATATCAAACAGCTGCTTGCAAATGGAGTATTAAGCCATTTAACGTTGTAATCATTTTTTATTTAGCTTCCGGGTCTGCTGCTTTGGATACAAACTATCGTCCTAAATTGGCTGTTTCCTGCACTGCCCGCTCCGGTATTAGTACAGAGTCTTCCAGCGTCTCATCCGACCTATTCACTTCACACACTCAAGGTTTTGAACACGGAGACGACTCGTCTTGCAACAAACCAGCGGAATCTAGCCCAATTGTTTCCAGTATAACGCGAACAAAACTCGAACATAAAGAATTATACTCTCATACTGAAGTAAGTTATCCGCTTCTTTGTAATGCGCTACTCAATTTTTTTTGAATATTGATAAGAAAATGATCAATATTAACCGACGTGCTGTCTAATGCTATCGGGATGAATATGCTTTTTCAACACCTGAAAATTTGAAATGTTCATACCCAGTAGAATGAGCGAGGAGTCATTTGTACACTTCGCATTAATTAGTCACATTTCCTGACGGCGATATTTCATTCCGTCTGGTGTTTTAGATGATTTTCCCGATTTTGTTAGCTATCGAGTAAAGTAACATCTACACACCTGGCCACCTTAGAAATGGAAAATGGATAGCGGCGTTGAAAATACCACCCCAATAAATCTGCAGTGTTATACATCAAGTTATATAATGGCAGTAAGCTGAATATCGCAAATAAAATATTTCGTTTATCTCCGCTTCATTGCGGCATAGAGACAGCTACCGGCTTATACTGTCTTAAATCTATTATACCATCCGTGATCTGATCAAAATGGGGTTAGTACCTGTGCAGTATGCCGGACCGATCCTAGTTCTGAATCCACTCGAAATACACTGTCGGGTTGATTCCGGGCAGCGCAGTCCGAGTTCTTTTACAATCAGCGTCTTCACAAAAGTCCGCACAATCCTTGGCCCTTCACCGACGCTCTCAATACACAGGTAGGACACGCATTTCTCCCTGTAGGTTTTCCGTGTAGGGGGTATTCCAAACGACTTGCGAGACAGGGAAAATACAAAAAGGAACCATGAACGAAAATGTCCGGTGAGACATGCACACGACTCACAATCAAACCCAAATGGCTGCGCCCGTGTCTTCACTATACCTGAAGTGACTACAGAATAGATTATCTTCCTAGCTTGACCCAACAAGCAACTGAAGGTTGCAGCTAGGCTCTATCGGTAGGCTCTAAATAATGAAAATGAACCTAATGAAACGCATTTTTGTACATTTTTTCTACCCTACTTTCAGGTTTGCCCGAAGTAGTAGTTATTCATCGTCCTTTTAGTATGTTTGCTACTCTCAGTTGTAATGTCTCACTCTGCGGGGTCTTATTAGTATTTAGTACTGCAACATCCGCCAACGGGCCTCCATTTTTTAACTCCTAACTATGACCGCATGTTGTACACATACTTTATCCTGTCGCGTTTAACTTGCTTGTATAAAATAAACGTGATCAGACGCATTCTCATGTTAAATGGTATCCAGTCCTAGTTTACTGCGAATACGGAATGAAGTTCTTGGTATCTGTGATGTATTCATTTATAGCTATGGAATCGTATGGTGTTTTTTCAAATGAATTCCATCCCTCGTTTCTTCATTCATATTCTCAATCCCTAAAAGCTTTATTTTTTCACGAAGGCCATTTCGAGATATTGTGTTCCCTAATGGTTGAATTTCGAATCGACCGCTCTTCCGAGTGATCACACTCTGAGAAAACTCGGGTACACTATTGCCTCATTCAATCTAGCTTCACTGGGGTGGCTGTGGATTCTTATTCTAAATGATCTTGGATAACAAGCAATATTGATTCCTTGATCAAAGGTGTCAAGGCGTCACGCGCAAAACTGATCTGCTTCATATGTTCAAACTAACAGTTTGTTCGACGTCCATATTAACTCATCTGTTTGCAGTCGCTTCTCATTTCTAACGGTAACGGTACAAACTGAAGTGAAAGCCAATATTAGGGTTAGTCATCTAATGCTTAGTGTATACTTTTTCATCTTTCTGCTAGTCATTCTACCTTTTCCTAGCCGGTCTTCTACAATTTGGGTCGCATAGTTGCAATTTGTCGTTTGTCGTAGATGCTATTGCAAGTCGAAATGTTTTCGTACAAGTTTGCACCATGAATGTGCAAGGTGATTCACATCAAACAGAGAGGGTTTAAAAAGCTTTCTAATTACACACGCCCACTGAGCCTTCAATGCAATGCCAAGACGAACCATAGTTCAAGTACAGCTGGTTGTAGTTTATATAGTGTTGAAGAAAATCCCAAAGGTCATCACAACCACGCGGTCAGGTCAATTTGAATGCTGCAGTTATAATACGTGAATCACGTTGCGGCATCAGCCGATGGGCTTGAACAGTTATGAAAGTGTTCGCATTGAGCATTTACGATGATCTCGGCCAGCGCTGGCCATAGCAAATATATCGGTCGGTTTCAGTTACGATCGGTGGGAAAGAATCCATCAACAAGATCATTTGGTTGGAAATGGTGTGAACAGTTTTGCTCCTTGTAGGCAAAATAGCAGATTAAGAAATGTTCGAAACCACTGGTTTACTGTTCCACTGTTGACAAAGACATTTAAGTGTAACAATCCTTACATGGTAGTCCTTAGTGTATGGGTGTTTCTATGTTGTTGTTCCCATCGAACTCCATGAGAATGTAAACGACACTAGTGATATTGCCTAAGAAATCCCATACGTACGAACCACACCCACCCTCACCTTTTTGTGGCAGTTGTCACCGTCCCGATTGGGCATCGAGGTGTATTGGGCACCTTGAACGTTTGATCCCGTTGGAATGGTGTATTTTCCAATGAACTGGTCACTGGCCTGCTGTTTTGATACCGTTTCCCTAACTGGTCAGGCTTTGGATAACAGAAGACGCCGGTTATGAATTCATCAAGAACATCAAGCTGTTTAGGCTTAGGTAATCTAACAGTATCGCGCCTTCGAGCACATGACGAACATTTTTTTTATTAAGGTGAATGTGCCATGAGTTTTTTTTTAGCACAGTCTAGTTTCAGCCGTGTGTCGAAGTTTATCTCTTTAGAGTATCATGTTTGGATTAACCAATGTAATTGTCCAGAAGCACCAGACACGGGTGTGGGTTTCATTCCTTGAGGGCTCAATAGATCCCCACTAATTTAATGCATTTACTTGCTTTTGCAGGTCTTAACAGATTTGGTGGTACATGTGAATCATTCTATGTACCGATAAATCGTGGTCTAGGATCACGTAAACGGATGATTTGATCGCTTGTTCTCGAGAGTTATACTGCCACACTGAATAGGATTTTTTCCCCGAACATTCTTTGTGGCTTTTCATCACTCAACGCTTGTGACAAGTAATAAAAAGACTTGATCTCATTGTCACGAGGATCTAATCTTCATTTATCATTAGTAGCCATCTGAGCCATAGGTCTTAGATCAAAAGACCGCATAAGATCGAAAAGGACAGGTGTGTTGAGCTGAACGACAACGTACCTAACTATTACCAAAGTTGAATTGCATTTACGAGTTTTAATACTGGGACTCTAGGACCTAAAGCTTGGTGTTACCGGTGACTTAAGCCGCTCGAACACCGTCACCCTAATACCCAAATAGAAATGTTTGATTTTTTTTGCACACATGTACCTCGAAGAAGAACCTACCCGTTTGATATTTTCTACTGCATAAGTAGTTTTCCTTCACATGAATTACACAGTGTCTCCCTGTCTGTGACATGCTAATGTATTTCTGTACCTCAGGCGGAAGGCACTTCATCTAATCCCACTCTTCCTTGCTGTGGTGAACAATCCAATTCCTTGGGACCAGTAAAATATTCACCCATCTCCACGGACCAAGATCCTGATTTGAGCCACACCACCGATGCAGATTTAGTACCCGAGAGGTCGGTTGAAAAGCCCATTGAGTCACACAAGCGTGCTACTTCATACAAGCGCCGAGGTCGCAAACAAACCAAACACATTGCACAACCGTCTGCCTCAATGGAGTCCATTTCAGTTATACCGTACGGCAAGGCCGAATCAGTTGGTGATGTGTCCTTTTCGGGAATTCCTCACAATTCTGATCTCACTGGTGCTTGCTCTGCTCCGGTTCCCAATGTGGGTAAACGCAGACGTCAGACGTTACATAGTCCCACTCTTTCTGAATCAGTGGTGAATTCTGGCCGTGTAGATTCAGATGATTGGAGCGGTTTGCATTCTTCAGATGAGATCGTTGCTGAGACTGTGGGAAACACTCTGTCTACCGGACCTCGTCGTTCCAATGGTTCGCGTAGTGCCGCTCTCCCCCCACGCAAGCGCTATAAAGCAGGTATCGACTCATCTGCATCTGCACCATTAAATTCCGGCAACGAGGCTTCAGGGACTTCAGAAGAAGCTCTCCTCATTTGTAATCCTGAGCCAGATGTCTTGGGAGTATCTGCCATGCACTCGGAGTCGGACGTTCTAAACGCTGCTGAAACTCAGACAGCGGTATCACTATCAGCACTTCAGGCTCCTGTTGAACTGGTGAAGAAACGTGGTCGAGGTAAGTGTTTTTGTCTGCTCGTTTCTTTTAAATGATCACCAATGTTCGTAAATTAGAATTTTCACATTTTTCATATTTGAACACCTAAAAATCTTATTATTATCAGTACTATATTTCACACGCATGAGTTTGAACCACAGTACCGCTTGAAACAATACCGCCTTTATAGTAACAGAAACTACAATCTGCGGAGGTGTGCATCATTTCTCATTTCAACCTGTTTCGATCGTGGAACGCGTTATTATGCACTAATGGGTTGTGACAATGGTATGTCAACGTGGTAGGCCGATAACCGTTTGTCGAAACTCCTGTTAATTGCTTNAATTGCTTGTCATTACTAATCAACTTCGTTCTTAGTTCATCGATGAAATGAAATCATGGTGTTCATGTTCAGTGTGAGGTAACCGCCGTCATGATGCAAGCGTAAGAATGCTGACTTGGCTGTTCTGGTGTCAAACGAGACTACTGTCCGTTGTTCTCTTGCACTCAAATCAGTGATGTGCCATCTGACTTCCCTCGTTTCTACTGATCTAGCTTTACATTACGCTTATCTATGGTGTAGTGTTTGAATGGTAAGGTCGTCGAAATAACCATATAAGGGTTCTGAGTTGTAACCCCGCCACCGCCACCTATCTTCATCTGTTTTTCTCCAAACATCCTTTGTATGAGCTCAGTCCGATTCCTGAAATTTTGTCGTACATTTATATGATCGATAAATAAAAATGGAAGTAAAATATTGCTATTATCAATAATATTGTTAATATGATTAGAGCCTTATGTGGTTCGCCACCCGATGCTTGGGTTGCCAGGTTCTATGGGTGAGAAGTAAAATCTCGTGATGATGTGGTTCTTACTCGCTGTTTATCACACAGAGGTATGCAGAAATCAATCATATCGCAATCATTGATTAGTGGTGTTTCGTACTAGTGTAAAAGAATAACACAAACCGCGTGAAGCAGACGGGTGTGCATCGACTGAAAGTGCATCAGCCACATTTTCGTCCGTCAACGAATCGAGCGTTGCTCGCTTCGAAGACCCACAATCATTTTCTTTACATTTGAGCAGCCCTTCAAAATAGCATTAACTCTGAGCTTTCCACTCTCTTTTTGGTGAATGGAGTTATTGGGAACTGTTTCTATTTTTGCAGTTCTCTCTCAATACATCGGGTCGTTTTAAGGCATGCAACGTTCTCTCACTACCGTTTTTCTCTTTGAGTTGTTTTTTCAGAACTGTCTTAAGACCTTTATTTTTTCACCGTTGCTATGGATGGTGTCTTATAGAATACCTTTTTCCCTATTATCACTAGAATCGGACTCTTTACAAAATATCGATTTGCCGATATGTTATCGCCT